CAGGCACTTCAAGCACATTCAAATTACAAGGAAAGAGTAAAGGACCATGGAAAGGAGGTAAGTCATTCAATAAATAGAAATCACAAGATCAAAAATCTAGTGATGCAGGTGAGTCTTCCAAAAACAAGTCAAATAACCAGAACCAGAAATAGAATACCAAGGAGTGAAAATTTGATAAGAAGAAAATGAAATGTTACAACTGCCAGAAGCTTGGTCATTTTTCTCGGGAGTGTTAGGAAGGAGAGGGAGCCAAGAACAAACCAAATAATTGTGCAAACTTTACACAAGATGATGCATCAGATTTTGAAACAGTGATGCTTATGGCAAAAACTAGCACAGATCTCTTAGAAGACATATCATGGTATCTTGACTCCGATTGTTCTACCCATATGACAGGCAGGAAGGACCAGTTCATAAAGATGAATGATGCATCTCAAGGAAAAGTCAGATTTACTGATAACAACAGCCTAACTATAGAAGGCTTTGGAAGAGAGGTGTTGAGAAATCATGATGGCAAAGAAATAATAATTGAGGAGGTATTGTATGTACCTGGAATAAAAACAGATCTCTTAAGCTTGGGTCAATTATTGCAAAAGGGGTTTGTTATGATAATGGAGGATAATTGTCTTAGTGTTTTTGATAGAAACAAGAAACTTGTAATTCAAGTTAACCTATCACAGAATAGGACCTTTCAAATTGGAATGAACACTTTGAAGCATCCATGTTTTTCCACTTTAGAAAATAGAGTAGAATGGTTGTGGAACCTCAGGTATGGTCACCTAAATTTCAGAGATTTACACCAACTCAGACTTCAAAATATGGTTGAAGGATTGCCTCAAGTTGTAATTCCAGAAGAAGTATGTGTTGGGATTATTTTATGGTATTTGTCTGAGAGGATATTTTATGAGGGTTATTTTTATAAGGTTATTACACAAGCATACTCCATAATGATGAGATATTGTCCATTTTGGGTCTAAGCCCTCACGGTTTTGCTTTTGGTCATTATCCAAAAGGCCAACATTAGAGTATGTGTGTACTTTATAAATTATTTTTTTTATCTTATTTTATCGATGTGGGTCTTGTTTGTACGTATCCCAACAATCCTCCCATCAAACAAGGGACCTAACCTTACCGCATCCAACCTTGTGGCTTTTATACCACTGATGGAGTTATTCTTATGGTATTTGTCTGAGGGAATATTTTTTAAGGGTTATTTTTATAAGGTTATTACACAAGCATACTTCACAAGTATGAGATATTGTTCGCTCTGAGCCTAAAAGCTCACAGTTTTTCTTTTTGTCATCACTCAAAAGGTCTCTTAATCATTAGAGTATGTGTATTTTATAAATTATTATTTTTTTCTCTTATTTTAGCGATGTGAGACTTGT